TAAATACTTTCATGGTAATTCTTCTGCTGAATGGTACCTAGACTTTTTGAATTTAAGCGCAGTACTAGACAGGCGGCTAGGTCTCATCTATTTAAAGTTGAAATGGCGAAATGTAACCGTAAGTTCTATGCTAATAGTTTCTTCTATCGCACTTCGTGCTTATGAGACACTCTTCCAGCTTCATGCTTCCCAGTCAACTTTGATCTTCGAAGATTTAAATGCAATGTCAATCGTTATCTTTTCTTCTAAATTCCTGTTCTTTCATTGATCTCGCTCCTTAATAATGTTTTTCTTTTCGTATTCTTTCACATTCAGTAATCCTTGCGTCTTAGTGATTTTATTGCCTTGCTTGGGGTGTAATGATTAAAAAAAATTTGTATGAACATCGCGAAAGCATGAAACTACTATCTACGCTACCGCATATATATATATATATATATATAATTAATACAAGTAAGAGGGTTGTCAGTTAGCTGATTGATGTTATTTTCAACATCCCGACTCCACATTTTCGTAGTCGGACCGTCTGGGAATCACATCGTCAGGGGGTATACATAGATAGATAGATAGATAGATAGATAGATAGATAGATAGATAGATAGATATGAACAGACTGAGATAGATAGGTAGATAGATAGATAGATAGATATGAATAGACTGAGATAGATAGGTAGATATATAGGTAGATATGAACAGATTGAGATAGATAGATAGATAGATACCTGGCAGATAGATAGATAGATAGATAGATAGATAGATAGATATGAACAGACTGAGATAGATAGATAGATAGATAGATAGATAGATAGATAGATAGATAGATAGATACCTGGCAGATAGATAGATAGATAGATAGATAGATAGATAGATAACTGGCAAACAGACAGACAGATAGAAAGATAAATTTTAGAAAAATTTTTTTTTAGTATTGTTAACGCAATCCAAAACCAAGAGCCACTCAAGGTTTTTGCAGAAAAATAGCCCCAGAACATGATACTGCCACCATCAAACTTTACAGTTTGCAACGTGTTCTTTGGTAAGTAGGCTTCACCATCCTTCCTCCACACCTGATTTCTATAATTATGACCAAACAACTCTATTTTAGTTTCATCTGTCTATAGTACTTTTTCCCCAAAACGAATATTCTTTATCCTTATGCTCTCTAACTAATTTTAGCCTAGCATCTCTGTGTCGTTTCAAGAGGAGTGGAGTCTTCCTTGGGATGCGTAATTTCAGACTGTTTTTTGTGTAGTTCATTACTTATTGTACGCTTGGTTACTTTAATCCCTAATGCACGCAGATGTTCCTGCAGCTCTTCTCGGGTAACCTGTGGATTTTGTTGGATCTGGTGTCCTAATATCCTTGCTGATCTTAGAGAAATCTTCCTCGGAGTACCTGTTTGGTTTTCGACGCTGTTACGAGTTTTAAACCTTGTAATGAACGAAGCAATTGTAGTAAAAGTAATATTCAGGTTGTTAGAAATCATTCTGTAACTGCAAAGAGACAAAATGTGTTGTTTTTGTGAAATAGTCAATTCTTTACCTTTAGGCATTATTAGAACCTTCTCGTAAGACTAGAAATTGCAGAATGCTCTGATAATGGCTAATAGCTTTTAACTATAATTACTGATAACATTACTGGAACATTCTAGAATATACTTTTTTCATAATTAATTGATTATTTTATTCTAATAATTGATTTGTACGAATACTTTTTTCGCCAGTTAGAATTAAAAAAATGCATTAATTTCTGTTAGAATAAGAATTAATTAAGTTTATTATTATTTTTTAATAGTATGTGTCTTATTTGTTTTATTTAAGGCTTTTACATTTATAAAAATACAATTTTTCAAGTGTACGAATATTTATTTCCCCCCACTATATATATATATATATATATATATATATATATATACGAGTTCCATGTATGGAATGAGTTTGAGCCCCAGTAGACTTTCAAGGCAATGCGCCTCATCGAGATTACAACTGTTTATCCTGACTGGCAAAAAACAAACGGTTGCTCGATGATGAAGAAACTTTACTAGTTCGATTTCAAAGATATTGAATGTTAAAAACCAGTCAACTATCCACCACCATTGAGCTCTGTGGTCAAAGTCAGATCATAGATCAGCTGACAGGCGGTGGTCATTTAAATTTTTGAAGGAGCACAGTATTATCATCAAAAGGAAGGACCGAGCAGTAAGCCTTATGGGATGTCTGTATTGATCTTATAGGCTTCAGAATCTTAACCATTGACAACGAGCCTCAAAGACCATCCTGATAGCAAGATTTATTTTTTTTTTATGACTGCGAGGACGCTTCCAGAGACTCCATAGCTGGAGAGTTCGTATAGCAATCCCCTCTGCCACACCTTGTCAAAGGCCTTTGAGGTGATTGCTTTTATGATGAATTTGCTATGCAATGACTCGCCGATTCTGTTATGAAAGTTTGGAAATCAGCAGTGGACTTAGAAGAGTGAAATTAAATGCGACTTGTCACTCGGGAGGCTGTTTTTGCGCAGGTGATTACTTATGGCACAAGCCTTCCAGATCTAAAGAGATAGAGATATATATTGATTAATAAAGTAAATCCGAAAAGGTTTCCTTAATCAAATGTCACAAACTTCTTGGATTTGATATGGATTGCTGAAGAACTCTTGTTGCCCTTAATATATCTCAAGAGAAACATCTGAATCAGAAAGAACTACCTATATCTTTTTTTAGTGGTTCCTAGGATTTAATTAAGGGAATTTAGTATATATATATATATATATATATATATATATATATATATATATATATATATATATATTTAGCAGATCAGATAAGAGATCAGCTCTCAGGCTCTGGTCATCTATATTGTTGGTAGTTTACCCATAAACCGTGTTTTCATCTGCATATATATATATATATATATATATATATATATATATGTGTGTGTGTGTGTGTGTGTGTGTGTGTGTGTGTGTGTGTGTGTGTGAAATATATAGAAAATAGGAAGGAACTGGTTAGGTAAATAATCCAAAGTCCCTTAGTATTTTAGTTATTATTTTTAAAAAATAGTGCTCGATACAAAAGTAGAGCATAAATATAATTATTTATTAAAAAATATGATTCCAAATCGCTACATAAGAGGTCTCATGTTTCAAAACAAGAGCCGAAAACTTCAATATAATCCTTTAAATTAAATTGAGTTTAAATTAAAATGGGCTCCGTTCCATCTTCAAGCGAACTTTTTGTTGGAATAACGTATATCTGAAAGGTGGTGCTTGGTGATTGGGCTATTTGTTAAACAAGTAATTATAATTTTTTATAATCATCAGATTCATAGTAGGAATAATTAACTACAAACATGCATACAACATAACACCCTTCATAATCCATAGCACAAAGTAGTAGTTTAAATACCCTACATAAAAGATAACCCTTTATGAAGTCGTCAAAAAACAAACGTTACGAAAGTTTTTCTTTTTTTATATGCACACCCCTTTCATAATAAAATAAAATAAAATAAAATAAATAAATCTCCATAGACAAACAAACTAGACGAAGGTTTATACATCTTCCGTTTCATTTTAGACACCCCCACCTTTCCCCGACTTGACATCTTGAAAGTATCTCTATACCGCTACTTATTATAAACACCCTACACTCGCCTACCCAATTTAAACAATTCGCCCTAGCTGTTACCATGGAGATTTTGATTTCAATTTTTAAAACAAGTAAATTTCAGATATACGTTATTTCAACAAAATTTCGCTTGAAGATGGAACGGAGCCCATTTTAATTTAAACTCAATTTAATTTAAAGGATTATATTGAAGTTTTCGGCTCTTGTTTTGAAACATGAGACCTCTTATGTAGCGATTTGGAATCATATTTTAAATAAATAATTATATATATATATATATATATATATATATATATATATATATATATATATATATATAAATTAATTGATCTAAAATATGTTTTTTCCGCGAAAATTCGCTTGAGGAGGAAATGGAACTAATGTCTTTAATTTAATTACAAAATTAAATCCAGGGCTTTTAGCTTCCATTTTTGAAACATAGTTAGAACTGTGTAGCGGAAAAACCATATTTTAAATCAATTAATTTATCATATTAATGCTCTGTAAATTTACATTGAGCACTATTTTGTAAAAATAAAATATCTATAAGAACACTGGATTATATATCTTACTGTTCTTTTTTTATATATATATATATATATATATATATATATATATATATATATATATAGTACAGGTAATCGATCCGTTGGTATATAATCCGAGTGGATCCTAGTAAAATTAATTATTAAACCTGATCCACAGAGAACCCCCCCATACAGGCGCTTATATGTGGGGGGGATAGTTGTACGTATCGTGGCATGTATGTATGATCATACAAATGTACACATATATGTATGTATAAAGATATCGACGCATATAAGGGTGTTTGATAGCACGAGTTATTCCACTGGCCGATCTTGTATTACCCACGATCTATAAATCTATAACTCAACTAACTTACATTAATCTTAATGGACTTAAAATAAATCCTCCATCGCTTAGTCGTACAAAAACTATTTACTGTGAATCCCAGAAAAACATACTCCGGGGCCGTAAGAAGAAACGCCACATAGTAGGAACTGATATTAAACTACAAACAAAAATCCATTCAAGAAAATCTAACCTTTCTTTAGAAAATTGATTGATTCGTTTTTACGGCTTATCAACCCCTTACAGGTTATTAAAACCAGAACATATTTTTAGACTGCAAGAATTTCGTTTTTTTTTTTGTGGGTGATGTAATAATGGTTTAGTGCTGCAAGTCATATTAATTAACCCTTAGCTGGGGAAGAAGTGGAGGATTCGTACCTTCCCCAAAGGTATTTGCGTAAGCTAACATAACGAACCCAAATGGAATTGGAACTCGTCTCTCTGATTAACAATTCCGACCCATTATCCATTACACCACTACACTTCCAAGTTTACATTGGCATTTCCAAGCGATCACCCATCTAGGTACCGACCAAGCTCGACGTTGCTTAACTTAGGTGATCTTACGGGGACCGGTGTTTTAAAGTTGGTCGGTTGATTTTTTTTTTTGAGTCATTTTTGTGATGACAACGAACACTCGTTGAGACGTTTGTAAAGTCAACGTACACACTTTGTCACTTTCGTAATGCTCGTTGTAGTAGAGACTTTATAATCGCAGATACAAATATAGTAACGCCGTTGAACAATACTGGTGTCAGGCGCCTTCGAATAACACTCGCACTAATAGTACTTGCTCGATAATACTCGCTCGTAAAGTAACAGCCGAATAGTAATCCATATAGTGATCAGTTTAGAGAATAGCATAGAAATAGGGAATAGTATAGAGAATAGAGAACAGTATAATAATAGAGGATAGAATAGAAATGGCGATCCATTAGACGTCACGCTACTTTCTAATTATGTGTTTCCTCTATAGTCACGGGATCCACTTAATTCAATAATGGGATCGCCTGTGTTTGCTCACTGATGATCTATGTTCAAACTGAAGCTCCTACATAACAGTCATGTCAACCTAAATGTGTTATTTAATGTCTAAATCTAAATACTTTGAACAAACTTTTATGCCTTCAACTACAGATAAAATGTACTGTTAGTAATTTTGTTTTAAATATGCATTGTTGCTGGCTAGGGTTAGTTTTGCTAAGCGGCATTTCAACCTCTACGGGTTATTTAATGCCGAAATCTAAATATTTTGTACGCAATTTGATACTTTCAGAGTAAATGTATGTTTTTAGATATATATATATTTTTAGAACATAAAATGTATTGTTGGTAATTTTATTATAAAAATATACCATTGACTTTTGCTTAGGAGTTCACTATTTGCCCATAGATGGGACCCTAACAGGTGCTACCACACTGGATCAGGCTGACCCTGGGACAATAACAATTAAGAGGTGGTTCCAATCTCCTCAAAATCTCCAATCTCCTGATCAGAGGCCTTGTTGCCAGATGTAGTTTATCGTCATACCCAGGACGAATTATTCAACGTGATGTGGCCGTAAATTATTTAGAAAAGAAAGGATACAGGTGATATATTTTTTTATTTATGTAGATGAAGTTTCCCTTTTATCCGGAAGATGGTAGGTTATCCTACGGGATAAAGTAGTGATTGTATTTAGAAAAGAAAGGGTAAAGTTTTGTATAATTTGGAAGCATATGGGATTTTACATTTACACAAGTGTACTAAGTTTTCAGCGACATTAAAGTGATTCTTCACACGTTTTAAGTGTTTTGCATGTAGCGAGAAAGATTGGCTATATTTGAATTTGAATAAGTCTTGTTGATAACAGAGATTAAACTGATTCACTAGTGGCGTGCAATGTTTTTTCGTGTTCACTAAACTTGTAGTTACTCTTTTCATTTACCTCAAGTTATTTCTTCATAATAAACAATATTTTTGTTATTTTAAAGCTGACTTTTGTTAGCTTTTTTTATTACTTTAGAAAATAAAAGAATGGCTGGTTTTAATAGGTCATAACTTTCACGCTCGCAGTGTCAGGTTATGACTTACATACTCACAACATACGCCTCTGATATTTTAAACAGAAATTATTGAGTAATTTCTCATTCTCTACCATATTATAAACGAGAGAAAGTCAGTACATATCATTAGCATAACTGGCCACTCGTATACGAGGATATCCATCTACGCTTGATCAGGCGTATTTGTGTTTATTCAACACCCACAGGTTTATACTGCAACTATGCTGAACAGACCTTATCTACAGTTTTTGGTAAAGAGAGCGTTATCTAGCGTAATCAACAATTTCAGCAAGCCCTCGGGCACGATGAATTGTGATTTCGTACTAGCACAGCTATCGATGCCCCCGCCCGACAATCCCGGGGTATGGTTTTCAGGCACTTTTCAACTTTTCAGCAAGCTGAGATCGACCCCTCGAGTCTGATAACATCAGGAAGTCTCCTTACTGACGAATCGACCATGGCGTGATTCGAACCCGGGTCTCATGGTCAGAATGCGAAAGTTCTAACCACTCGGCCCATTAACATATCATTAGTAGAATAAGATAAATACATAAGATTAGCAATTCATAAGATTAACAATTTACTATAACAAACTAAAAAATAAATAAATGTAACTTCATCATCACTAACAACATCACAATTGTGATGCACAAGTATCAAATTCGTACCTAGGATATACAACCACTATTCTATTCCGCGGGATAACCTAGCAGCTCGTGGATACAATGTAATCTGCAACCACATATATAAAAATATATTGCTTTGAAATAAGATGTCCACCAGCATAATACAAACACGCCTAATATATATATTGATTGGTCATTCTAGCTTTTGGAACAACGTTTTTCCCTTGTGAAAGATCGTTAACTATTTTGAAACTTTTAAAACCATTTGTTTTGCATTCAACATCATCACTTGATGAGACACCGGGAGTGTTGAAACAAAATGACTATTTTTGTAGTGATTTTATAACATGTTTATGTTATAAATTTTTTAAATAAATAATTATATATATATATATATATATATATATATATGTTGCATAATATTAACTGAAAAAAAAAGGATTCCAAATATTAGAAGCTTTAATCATAAGATCAAAAATTTCGAAATTAAAATCTTTAATATTGAAACTACGGTTTTACATTGATCCAATTAGTTAAACATTTAGCAAATGAAGGAATCTATCTTATACATTTATAATTCTACCATTCGTTCAAAGACTGAAATATGGCTGCCACATCTGGTTTCGTGCTTCTGCTATGTATTTAGAGATTTTTGATATAAATAGAAAAAACAATTTGCAATGTTATTGGTCCTGACCTGGAATCTCGTCTTTAGTTCCTTTCCCGTCGTCGTAATGTAGCTTCCCTTTGCCCTTTCTATAAATAATTTCATGGTAATTGTGCTGATAAACTTTCCTTTATGATACCTATAATTTATGAATTTACGGGCAATACTAGATTGGTGGCAATGTCTTATCATTTTACGCTTGAAATGACAAGATGTAACCGTAAATTCTGCGCTAACAGTTTTTTCTCTCGCACTTTTCGCCCGTGGAACTCTCTTCCATGTTTTTGTTTTGTTTTCCAGTCAACGTTGATTTTCAAAAATTTAAATACAATGTCAATCATTATCCTCTGTTCTTAAATTCTATTATTTTATTGTCTTCTCTCCTTTTTTCTCATATTTCCTAACACTCAGTAACCCTTTGCCTCTTAGTGGCTTTATTGCCTTGATTTGTATGGAATGATCAGTAATATAGTTGAAAGCTGACGATCACTAATATTCGGGAAATATCTATACTTATTTTCAATACAACTAAAGATAGGAATTCATATTTAAACAATAAATGTTAATTTTAAAAAAATCGTCTGTCGTTTTTTTTTTTATGTGTACTGTGTGTCCCAAAAGTAAACAAGGCGTCTGATAGTTTAATGAGTTTTTTCTTTATTAAATTTTTCCAGTTTTTTTTTCGGGTATATGAGACTTTGGAACTTAATTAAGTAAAAAAAATAACGGCTGAAAAACGAAAAAAATTAGTAATATCTTTCTATCAAAACCGAGGCTCAATAATTTAAATTCAACGAGTCTATCGCCGCCATTACGGTGTGAGGGATTCTCCAAATAAAGTTTCAGTAAGTGTTCTCTTCCATGAAGTGGCATACCATGATCGGTTAGGAACAAAGGAATATTTAAGCGAGTAAGTGAGAGTATCGAAGACGGTCTAAGCGCATCAACTCGAAGGCGGTTCTCGATATGTTTGGATCCTCTCAGACGTCACGCCAACGAACTTTTAAATGCATCAATCTGTTTTCGTACAACAAGATCCACGACAGCTCACATGACGAGAACTACAATCCAGCTTCTCAGGTAACTTTTTGGGAAACATATAATTTTTATCACAGTTACGGCATAAAATGGACACCACGATTAACCAGATTTTACCAACATTGAGTTCTTCCGATGCGGCTATCACAAAAGAAAAGGTTTATGTCAACAAACCTTAGATTCTTCAACAACTAAAGGGCAACATTTAGACATCAAAGCACTAGAACTGGTAACACTGAGAGCCGTGGTGGAAAATACCTTAGAAATATCACGTTCATACACAGCTGAAAATGGACGCCATTTAAATGCAGTAATCTTTCTTAACTAGTGCGCATTATATCCCATATTTACTCTATATAATACTATGGTAATGTGAATTGAAGTTAAAAAATAAAGGAGTTATTAAATTTTGAAATCCCTAGGTGACTTTGGGGACACCCTGCATGATTATAGCTGAAGGAATGGAACTGCAGTGTTGATTTCTATGTCAACACAGATTTTATCAACAAGTGATCTATTTATATACAGAATAATCTTACCCCATGAATATAGCAAATTTCAAACAATACATACATACATACATACATACATACATACATATATCTATGAAAACATGGGAAAAAGGTTTTAGTGTGACGCATTTCGTCCTTTAGAGTTTCATCGAACTAAATTTGTTATGTTGGTGCGATGAACATAACGAGGGATGCTGGGAATTTTAAATTTTAATCTTTTGGGCGGTGGGTATATAATCTAGCCGTTTTCCTTTACATGCTTTTTTTCTTTTTGTTTCCATCACTTTTTTTTAATGAGATATCCCACACTTTTTTTTAATTAATGCCAAATTTTTGGCACGTTTTGAAGATAACAAAGCAGTTTATTATAATCACGATCAAATGATTAATATAAAAATTATTATTAGCCCCAAATACTTTAAATTAAAAGTTAAAATTTAACTCAAATTACATGAAATTTTGTAGTTGATAATTAAAAGGCCTCTTTAAGAAACTGGTAAATAACCATTTAAAAAAAAGGAAAGCAGATCATAAACACAAAACTACTTTGTCAAATTAATATGCATTCGTTAAGTAAAAAGCATCCTTATATGTTAATAATACTAACTAAACGATGTAAAATGTTAATAATACAGACTACACATCAATACAGAGTATCTGTCTATATATCTGAGATGAGGTATTATGTGCATTTACATTATT